TCTTCATGCTGGGATGGGTGCCAGAGGGGAATTCATGCTGGGATTGGGATGTTGGGGGGCTCTTCACAATGGGATGGGGATGTTGGGGGGATCTTCATGCTGGAACGGGGATGCTGGAGGGGCTTTGGTGGATCCACCCCATCACCCATGTCTGGTTGGGTGTCTCTTGGCTGCAGATGCCCCCGTGCACCCTCCTTTCGCCGAGCAGCACCCCTATGAGATGTGGGACCCCAAGACCATGCCGGCTGACCTGGGCTTTGGGCTGAAGATGGTGGATGGGGTGGTGCACGTCTACACCAAGCAGGACCTCACCGACAAGTGAGTGTCCGGCACGGAGCATGCACTTGCTGGTGGGATGAGCTCGGAGAGGGGCTCTGGTGGGTGACCCTGGACCATGTCCCCTCCTCTGTCCCCCCAGGAGCACGGAGCTGGACCTGCCCTACCCCGACCTGCAGGAGTTCATCGCTGACATGAACTTCCTCATGGCTTTGATCATCAATGGGCCCATGTAAGGAGAAGGGTCCCTCCAAGGAGGTGTCCTGGGGGGTCCCACCATGGAGGTGTCCTGGGGGGGGTCCCACCATGGAGGTGTTCTGGGGGGTCCCACTATGGAGGTGTCCTGGGGGGGTCCCACCATGGAGGTGTCCTTGGGGTGGGTCCCACTATGGAGGTGTCTGGGGGGGGGTCCCACTATGGAGGTGTCTGGAGGGGGGGTCCCACCATGGAGGTGTCCTGGGGGGGGTCCCACCATGGAGGTGTCCTTGGGGTGGGTCCCACTATGGAGGTGTCCTGGGGGGTCCCACCATGGAGGTGTCCTTGGGGTGGGTCCCACTATGGAGGTGTCCTGGGGGGTCCCACCATGGAGGTGTCCTGGGGGGGGTCCCACCATGGAGGTGTCCTGGGGGGTCCCACTATGGAGGTGTCTGGAGGGGGTCCCACCATGGAGGTGTTCTGGGGGGTCCCACTATGGAGGTGTCCTTGGGGTGGGTCCCACTATGGAGGTGTCTGGGGGGGGTCCCACTATGGAGGTGTCTTGGGTGGTCCCACTATGGGGGTGTCTTTGGGGATCCCACTATGGGGGTGTCCTGGGTGGGTTCCACCATGGAGGTGTCCTGGGGGGTCCCCACCATAGGGGTGCCCTGGGGAGGGACAGAGCCTTGGGAACAGCACCAGAGGACATGGTGGTGGCTCTGACACACGGTCCTGGAGCAGCTCCCATACCCATGCATCCATCCATGCACATGGAGAGGGGTCCCAGAGTCCAGAGCCGTATCCCCTCATCCTGGTGGACACCAGCCTTTCAGGGCTGGATGTTCTCCTCCTCTGACACCCCCATCCCCACCTCGGGCAGCAAATCCTTCTGCTACCGCCGGCTGCAGTACCTGAGCTCCAAGTTCCAGATGCACGTCCTGCTCAACGAGATGAAGGAGCTGGCGGCCCAGAAGAAGGTGCCCCACCGCGACTTCTACAACATCCGCAAGGTACCTGCTGGCTCCTGGGCTCCTGCTGTGAGCAGGGGGCACTTGGAGGCTCTTGGGGCTCAGCACCTCCTCTGCCTGCCCAGGTGGACACCCACATCCACGCCTCGTCCTGCATGAACCAGAAGCACCTCCTGCGCTTCATCAAGCGGGCCATGAAGAAGCACCTGGATGAGATCGTCCACGTGGAGAAGGGCAAGGAGCAGACGCTCAAGGAGGTCTTCGAGACCATGAACCTCACCGCCTATGACCTGAGCGTGGACACGCTGGATGTCCACGCGGTACGGGGCTGGGGGGACACCCCACATCCTGCAGATGGGTGATGCTGAGGGCTCTGCGCTGGGGGCTCGGGGGCCTCACGTCCGTGTCCTCCTGCCAGGACCGCAACACCTTCCACCGCTTCGACAAGTTCAACGCCAAGTACAACCCCATCGGCGAGTCCATCCTGCGGGAGATCTTCATCAAGACGGACAACCGCGTCTCGGGGAAGTACTTCGCCCACATCATCAAGGTGAGGGATCCCTCCGCGCGTCCCTCGCCTCCCTGGGTGCCCGTGGTGGCCCAAGGGGTGACGTTGTTCCCTGGCAGGAGGTGATGTCGGACCTGGAGGAGAGCAAGTACCAGAACGCGGAGCTGCGCCTCTCCATCTACGGCCGCTCCCGGGACGAGTGGGACAAGCTGGCCCGTTGGGCCGTCAACCACCGTGTCCACTCCAACAACGTCCGCTGGCTCGTGCAGGTGCCCCGGCTCTTGTGAGTACCAGGAGGTGCCTTCAAGCATTGCCCTGTGCCGGCTGGGGAGACCAAGGACACCCTTTTATGGCTGGGGTGGGTTTGGGATGGGACCCTCTAAGCAGGGTCCGTCCCCCCCCTGCAGTGATGTCTACCGCACGAAGAAGCAGTTGGCCAACTTCCAGGAGATGCTGGAGAACATCTTCCTGCCCCTCTACGAGGCCACCGTCCACCCAGCCCAGCACCCGGAGCTGCACCTCTTCCTGGAGCACGTGAGCGCCGTGTCCTGCTTCCAAGGGCAGGATGGGGGCCACCAGGGTCACCCATAACCCCAGCCTGGACCTTGTTTGAGGGCTCTATTGAAGGGGCCACCGTCCCACCCTGGGTTGTCCCTTCTGCAGGTGGACGGCTTCGACAGCGTGGATGATGAATCCAAACCCGAGCATCACATTTTCAACCTGGACAGCCCCTTGCCGGGCAACTGGGTGGAGGAGGACAACCCACCCTACTCCTACTACCTGTACTACATGTACGCCAACATGACGGTGCTCAACCACCTCCGACGGTAGGGACACCTCCAGCGGCTCTGCCTGGCCTGGGATGGTCAGATTGGGGTGGGGGGTGTGTGGGGGGGTGTGGGTCAGATGCTGATGGTGAACCCCACGTTGCAGGAAGAGAGGCTTCCACACCTTTGTCCTGCGCCCACACTGCGGTGAGGCCGGGCCCATCCATCACCTTGTGTCGGGCTTCATGGTCTCGGAGAACATCTCCCATGGGTTGCTGCTCCGCAAGGTGGGCAGGGATGGGGTGCCATGGGTGGGGGGGGGACACACAGCAGGATGTGTGTCTTCAACCTCCCCTCACCCATCTCTTCCCCCCCCCCAAGGCCCCCGTCCTGCAGTACCTCTACTACCTGGCGCAGATCGGCATCGCCATGTCCCCGCTCAGCAACAACAGCCTCTTCCTCAGCTACCACCGCAACCCCCTGCCCGAGTACCTCTCGCGGGGGCTCATGGTGTCCCTGTCCACCGATGACCCCCTCCAGTTCCACTTCACCAAGGTGAGGGGGCCAATGGGAGGGTCGCAGGCCACCAAACCCCCCAAAACCAACGGCAGGGTGGCCACCAGCCAAGCCGTGGCGATGGGACAGAGTTGGGGGTGGCCAAGGGCAAGGTGGGGGTCTCGGTGGCCTTGGCAGTGCCGGGGTAAAGGTTGGACTTGATGATCTTAAAGGTCTTTTCCAACCTTGTTCATTCTACGGTTCAAACCCAACAAGCTCCAGAGGATGCTGATGGTCCAGGGAGGGTGGGAGATGCTGGGGACCCCCGTGTTCTTTGTGGGGCACCCATGAGTGGGTGCTGAGGCTGTGTCCCCCCTCCCCGCAGGAGCCGCTGATGGAGGAGTACAGCATCGCCACCCAGGTCTGGAAGCTGAGCTCCTGCGACATGTGCGAGCTGGCCCGCAACAGCGTCCTCATGAGCGGCTTCTCCCACAAGGTACCCCCCCCCCCATCGTGTCCCCCAGCACCCATGGGTGCCAGAGCTGCGGGAGCTCGTCCTTGCTCTTGTGCCCAGGTGAAGAGCTACTGGTTGGGTCCCCATTACCTGAAGGAGGGTCCTGAAGGCAACGACATCCGCCGCACCAACGTTCCCGACATCCGCGTGAGCTACCGCTTCGAGACGCTGTGCCAGGAGCTGACCCTCATCACGCAGGCGGTGCAGAGCGAGGAGCTGGAGACCATCCAGGAGGAGGATGCTCTCACCATCACCGCCACCCTCAGCACCCAGTGACCCCCCCTCCATCACCCACATCCCTCTTCCAGGGCTTTGGCGCCGTCCTCCTGCTACCTCCTGCCCTTGGGAAGGGGATGGGGACAGGCCCCAGCGCCCCGTGGTGCCACCAAAGGGGTTTTGGTGGGGTTCTCTCCGTTCCTGGTGGGGTTTTTACCTGGTGTCTCCTCACTGTGCTGGTCCCTGCTCTTGGTGGCACAGGGATGAGGTGTCCGGAGGTGCCACGGGTACCAGCACCGGGGCGGGGGGGTCCTGGCTTCACCTCTTGGATGCAGTGAGAGCACAGAGGGACACCAATGCTGGGCATGGGGACATTGTGGGGGGGACCCAGCCTAGGGGCATGTCCCAGCTCCTGCTGCTTTTTAATTGCCTGCCCCTCTCCGTCCATTTCTCACCCCATGGGGACATGGGGACGAGCCAGCGGCACCCCAAGGACCCAGACCTGGGCTCTGCGCACCCACGTGCACACAGGGTGCCCGGTGGAGGATGCTCCATCCTCCTCCTCAGGGAGGAAGCAGAGGGCTTGGGGTGACTCTGTCCCTGCTCCAGGAGCTGGTTGTGGCCCGGATCGGGCTGGAAGAGGCTTCTCCTTCCTTGTGTGACATTGCCCCATCCCTGTGTCCCACTCTCCCGGTCCTGTCCCCCCCAGTGGAGCCGGTGGCTGATGCTCCTTTGGGAATACATGGTGGGAATGATGGAGTAAACGTTCACAGCCAAGAAAAGCCGCTCGAAAAGCCCTGTCCCAGCATGGAAATAAAGTATTTAAGTAAAACACCTGGATTTGATGGTGGTGGTGGTGGTGGGGTGGCCATAGGGTGGTGTGTCCCGTCCTGTGAATGGGATTTGGGCGTGGGGGTCCCCATGGTGCCAATGGGTGATGCTGGTGGCGGTGGCAGCGCTGGCACTGGTGGTGTTCATGGCAGGATGCCCCTGGCACCCAGCCTGCACCCAGTGATGCCAGAGGGAGGGTAAAGGGGAGGGTTCCGGGGGAGGTGCTGAGGGGGGCAGGTCCCTGCTCCCTGTTCCTGTTGTGGGCAGTGTCCCTGCGGAGCTGGTGCCATCATGGTGGTGACTCTGGGGTACTGGGATATCCGTGGGGTGAGTTGGGGGGAATGGGGGGTGCCGGAGGTGGGTGCTGAAGGGGGATGCTGGTAGTGGGTGCTAAAGATGGGTTCCCCCCCAGCTGGCCCAAGCCATCCGCCTGCTGCTGGAGTACACAGAGACCCCCTATGAGGAGCGGCAGTACCGCCCGGGGCCGGGTAAGGGGGATCCGGGGGGGTCCCCCCATCTCCATCCACCCCCCTGGACCCCGGTTCAGGCTGGGTCTGACCCAGCCTGGATTAGGGGGAGGGGGGACCCCCCCTGTTTCTCTCCCTGTCCTGTGCCCCCCCCCTCAAAACTCCTGCCAGGTTTTGGGGTCACCTTTGTGTGTGTGTCCCCCAAAACCGCCACCCTGCACCTTGGACTCGGGTCAAAGTCCTCCGGGGGTGCCCGCATGGGATGGGACACGTGGCTGCTCCGGAGCACAATGGGCACCCCGCATCCATGAGGGTGCCATGAGGGGGGGGTCCAGCAACCTCTGTGTGTGCCCCCCCCCAGCTCCTGACTTCAACGTGAGCGAGTGGACCAACGAGAAGGAGAAACTGGGGCTCGACTTCCCCAATGTGGGTGATGGATGGGGAAATGGGGGGGGTGGGAAATGGGGATGGGGGGCACAAGGAGTGACCCTCTTATTGTTACCCCCCCCCCCCATCAGCTGCCCTATCTCATCGATGGGAAAGTGAAGCTGACTCAGAGCAACGCCATCCTGCGCTACATCGCCCGCAAGCACAACATGTGTGAGTGCAGGGATGGGGATGGGGGGGTCCCAGCCACAAAGGGGGGGGGGCGGGTCCCCTTTACGGGGTGGGGAAGGGTCTGATGTCTCCCCCGCCCCTCCAAATATGCAGGCGGTGAGACAGAGGAGGAGATCCAGCGCGTGGACTTGATGGAGAACCAGATCATGGATTTCCGCATGAGATTCGCACGGATGTGCTACAGCCCTGACTTTGTGGGTACCCCCATGCAATGAGGGGGCCTCCATCCCTTTAGGGACCCCCTCAAAACCCTTTTCACCCCCCCCTAAAACCACTCTCATCCCTCTGGGTTGCTGTCACCCCAATGTCTTGTCCCCATCGAGGCACAAGTTGGGTGTCCCCTTGCCTTGCTGCAGGCAGCACCCATGGCTGCTGGGGAGGGTGATTTGTGGGTGCAGCCCCCCTGTATCTCTGTGCCCCTCATTAGGAGAAGCTGAAGCCTGGGTACCTGCAGGAGCTGCCGGGGAGGCTGCGGGAGCTGGCGCGGTTCCTGGGCTCCCGGCCCTGGTTTGCAGGGGACAAGGTAGGTGGGGGGGTGCTGGGGGGGTCCCTGGGGGGGTCCCTGTCACACACCAGTGTCCGTGTCCCCTCCTGCTGTCCCCAGCTCACCTTTGTGGACTTCCTGGCCTACGATGTCCTGGACCAGCAGCGCATGTTCGTGCCCGACAGCCCTGAGCTCAGCGGGACCCTGCGCCAGTTCATGGAGCGCTTCGAGGTGAGAGGAGCCCGGGACCGCGCACCCCAATGTCCCTGTTCCCATCCCGGACACCACGGTCCCCATGTCTGAGACCCTCGTGTCCCCATCCCTTATACCCCAACATCCCTGTCCTCAGTACCCCGGTGTTCCCATTGCTGTCCCCAATACCCCAATGTCCCAGTCCCCATCCCAGGCACGATGGTGTCCCCATCCCAAGCCTCATCCTTGAATCCTTGGTATCCCAACACCCCAGTGTCCCCATCCCCATCCTAAACACCCTGATGTCCACATTCCAAGCCTCATCCTTGAATCCACTGTGTCCCCATCCCCTACACTGTCCCCCCCCAGGCACTGGAGAAGATCTCAGCCTACATGCGCTCGGGGCGCTACATGAAGACCCCCATCTTCTGGCGCACAGCGCATTGGTGCAACACCAAGGAGTGATGTGGGGGAACCCCTAAGCTCCCCCGGACCCCACTTCCTGCAGAATAAATCGAGGCGGGGGGGCTGCCCCTTCTCCCTTGTCCTGCTTCAATGGGGGTGCCCCGAGTGCTGGGAAGTGCTTGGAAGGGAGGGGCTGTGGGGACCCCCGGGGGCTGTGGGGACACCCTGTTTGTGGGGTGACTCTTGGTGGGGGGGAGGGAACAGGGGAGGGGGCATCCTGTTACCCCATTTATGCCCCTTGGATAAGGGGGACTATCGTGATGACTGTGGGGCCCAAGGGGTGGAACCCCCCCTCACACACACACCCCAGGACAACGGGGACACCCAAACAGCTTAGGAGGGGTCACAGAGGGACCCACACCCCAGGATAAGAGCATAAGACTGGGGGGGGGGGGGATGCAAAAGCGAACCCAGCGCACCCTGGGGGGGGTCATGGGGCCCTCAACAGAGATCAGAGTCCGGCCGCTGCTCGCACAGCCCGGGAGCCGGGACGGGAACGCGGTGCCGGCATCACCGGGGCGCGCTGAGCTCCGCAGCGGTGCCACCAAGAGGGCAGCCCCGCTCCCTGCGCTGCCCAAACCCCCTCTGCTCCCGGCCCTCCCGTGCCTCTCTCAGGCGGCCCCGAGCGCGGCTCCCAAAGGGGAGCCTCCATCCCCTGCTCAAAGCTGGTGCTGAGCATCACCCGCACACGGTGCGCTCCGCAGTGCTGCCAGCAGCACGGCAATCCAGCCTCTCTCTGCCACCTCAGCCTCCACCTGGGATCTCTCTCTGGTCCCGTACTCTGACATCAGGGGTAGCCCCGAGCAGCCCAGGCCATCTTCATGCCCCTCCGACCACACAGGGGGATAGAACCCCAGCCTGCTTTGGGTTGGAAGGGTTACTTAAGGCTCCTCCAGCTCCAAGCCCTGCCACGGGCAGGGACCCCTTCCACTAGAGCAGCTTGCTCCAAGCCCCTGTGTCCAAGCTGGCCTTGAACACTGCCAGGGATGGGGCAGCCACAGCTTCTCTGGGCACCCTGTGCCAGCGCCTCAGCACCCTCACAGGGAAAAACTTGCTTGTATCCAACCAAAATCTCCCCTGTTTCAGTTTGAACCCATCACCCCTTGTTCCATCACTGCAGTCCCTGATGAAGAGTCCTTCCCCAGCATCCTTGTAGCCCCCTTCAGACACCGGAAGCTGCTCTGAGGTCTCCCTCAGCTTCTCTTCTCCAGGCTGAACAGCCCCAGTGTTCTCAGCCTGAATCCATACGGAAGCTGCTCCAGCCCCTGCTCATCCTCGTGGCCTCTTCTGGCCTTGCTCCAACAGCTCCTTCTGTTCTGCATGCAAGCCCCGGACGCAGCGCTGCCAGTGGGCTCTCCTGAGAGCAGGATGGAGCCCGCTGAGCCAGGTGTGTCCAAAGGTACCAAAGCCCTTCCTGAACCAGTGATGCTCAGCACAAGCGCTGCCAGGGGCTGCACCCCTGCCCTGCTCACAGCACTGTGCTCACAGCACTCACATCCCTGCGCTGATGGAGGAGTACAGCATCGCCACCCAGGGCTGGAAGCTGAGCTCCTGCGACATGTGCGAGCTGGCCCGCAACAGCGTCCTCATGAGCGGCTTCTCCCACAAGGTACCACCCCCCCCATCGTGTCCCCCAGCACCCATGGGTGCCAGAGCTGCGGGAGCTCGTCCTTGCTCTTGTGCCCAGGTGAAGAGCTACTGGTTGGGTCCCCATTACCTGAAGGAGGGTCCTGAAGGCAACGACATCCGCCGCACCAACGTTCCCGACATCCGCGTGAGCTACCGCTTCGAGACGCTGCGCCAGGAGCTGACCCTCATCACGCAGGCGGTGCAGAGCGAGGAGCTGGAGACCATCCAGGAGGAGGATGCTCTCACCATCACCGCCACCCTCAGCACCCAGTGACCCCCCCTCCATCACCCACACCCCTCTTCATCAGCCGGTGGCTGATGCTCCTTTGGGAATACATGGTGGGAATGATGGAGTAAACGTTCACCGCCGAGAGAAGCCACTCGAAAAGCCCTGTCCCAGCATGGAAATAAAGTATTTAAGTAAAACACCTGGATTTCATGGTGGTGGTGGTGGTGGGGTGGCCATAGGGTGGTGTGTCCCGTCCTGTGGATGGGATTTGGGCGTGGGGGTCCCCATGGTGCCAATGGGTGATGCTGGTGGCGGTGGCAGCACTGGCACTGGTGGTGTTCATGGCAGGGTGCCCCTGGCACCCAGCCTGCACCCAGTGATGCCAGAGGGAGGGTAAAGGGGAGGGTTCCGGGGGAGGTGCTGAGGGGGGCAGGTCCCTGCTCCCTGTTCCTGTTGTGGGCAGTGTCCCTGCGGAGCTGGTGCCATCATGGTGGTGACTCTGGGGTACTGGGATGTCCGTGGGGTGAGTTGGGGGGAATAGGGGGTGCCGGAGGTGGGTGCTGAAGGGGGATGCTGGTAGTGGGTGCTAAAGATGGGTTCCCCCCCAGCTGGCCCAAGCCATCCGCCTGCTGCTGGAGTACACAGAGACCCCCTATGAGGAGCGGCAGTACCACCAGGGGCCGGGTAAGGGGGATCCGGGGGGGTCCCCCCATCTCCATCCACCCCCCTGGACCCCGGTTCAGGCTGGGTCTGACCCCGCCTCGATTAGGGGGAGGGGGGACCCCCCTTGTTTCTCTCCCTGTCCTGTGCCCCCCCCCTCAAAACTCCGGCCAGGTTTTGGGGTCACCTTTGTGTGTGTGTCCCCCAAAACCACCACCCTGCACCTTGGACTCGGGTCAAAGTCCTCCGGGGGTGCCCGCATGGGATGGGACACGTGGCTGCTCCGGAGCACAATGGGCACCCCGCATCCATGAGGGTGCCATGAGGGGGGGGTCCAGCAACCTCTGTGTGTTCCCCCCCCCCAGCTCCTGGCTTCAACGTGAGCGAGTGGACCAACGAGAAGGAGAAACTGGGGCTCGACTTCCCCAATGTGGGTGATGGATGGGGATGGGGGGTGGGAAATGGGGGGTATGGGGGGAGGAAAGCACAGGGACTGACACATCCTTGTCACCCCCCCATCAGCTGCCCTATCTCATCGATGGGAAAGTGAAGCTGACTCAGAGCAACGCCATCCTGCGCTACATCGCCCGCAAGCACAACATGTGTGAGTGCAGGGATGGGGATGGGGGGGTCCCAGCCACAAAGGGGGGGGACGGGTCCCCTTTACGGGGTTGGGGCTGGAGGACTCATGTCTCCAACCCCCCAAAATGCAGGCGGTGAGACGGAGGAGGAGATCCAGCGCGTGGACTTGATGGAGAACCAGATCATGGATTTCCGCATGAGATTCATACGGTTGTGCTACGGCCCCGACTTTGTGGGTACCCCCATGAGATGAGGGATGCTCCATCCATTTGGGGACCCCCTCAAAACTCTTTTCAACCCCCCCCAAACCGCTCTCATCCCTCTGGGTTGCTGTCACCCCAGTGTCCTGTCCCCATCGAGGCACAAGTTGGGTGTCCCCTTGCCTTGCTGCAGGCAACACCCACGGCTGCTGGGGAGGGTGATTTGGGGGTGCAGCCCCCCTGTATCTCTGTGCCCCTCATTAGGAGAAGCTGAAGCCTGGGTACCTGCAGGAGCTGCCGGGGAGGCTGCGGGAGCTGGCGCGGTTCCTGGGCTCCCGGCCCTGGTTTGCAGGGGACAAGGTAGGTGGGGGGGTGCTGGGGGGGTCCCTGGGGGGGTCCCTGTCACACACCAGTGTCCGTGTCCCCCCCTGCTGTCCCCAGCTCACCTTTGTGGACTTCGTGGCCTACGATGTCCTGGACCAGCAGCGCATGTTCGTGCCTGACAGCCCTGAGCTCAGCGGGACCCTGCGCCAGTTCATGGAGCGCTTCGAGGTGAGAGGAGCCCTGGACCCTGCACCCCAATGTCCCTGTGCCCATCCCAGACACCACGGTCCCCATGTCTGAATTCCTCCTGTCCCCATCCCTGACACCCCAAAGTCCCTGTCCTCAGTACCCCGGTGTTCCCATTGCTGTCCCCAATACTGCAATGACCCAGTCCTCATCCTAATCCTCATCCTTGAATCCTTGGTGTCCCCATCCCCAACACCCAAGTGTCTCCATCCCTGTCCCCAACACCCTGGTACCCCCATCCCCATCCATGACATCCTGATGTCCCTGTGCCCATCCCTGACACCCTGATGTCCACATTCCAAGCCTCATCCTTGTATCCCCAGTGTCCCCATCCCCAGTACCTTTGTGTCCCCATCCCCACCCTTGTCCCTGCTGTCCCCCCCCAGGCACTGGAGAAGATCTCAGCCTACATGCGCTCGGGGCGCTACATGAAGACCCCCATCTTCTTGCGCACGGCGCATTGGTGCACCACTAAGGAGTGATGTGGGGGAACCCCTAAACCCCCCCGGACCCCACTTCCTGCAGAATAAATCGAGGAGGGGGGGCTGCACCTTGTCCCTTGTCCTGCTTCAATAGGGGTGCCCCGAGTGCTGGGAAGTGCTGGGAAGGGGGGGGCTGTGGGCACCCCACTGTTTGAGGGGTGACTCCTTGGGGGGGCGGGAGGGGACAGGGGAGGGGGCATCCTGTTACCCCATTTACCCCCCTTGGATAAGGGGGACTATCGTGATGACTGTGGGGCCCAAGGGGTGGAACCCCCCCTCACACACACACCCCAGGACAACGGGGACACCCAAACAGCTTAGGAGGGGTCACAGAGGGACCCACGGCCCCAGGATAAGAGGTGAAGACTGGGGGGGGATGCAAAAGCGAACCCAGCGCACCCTGGGGGGGGTCATGGGGCCCTCAACAGAGACCAGAGTCCGGCCGCTGCTCGCACAGCCCGGGAGCCGGGACGGGAACGCGGTGCCGGCATCACCGGGGCGCGCTGAGCTCCGCAACGGTGCCACCAAGAGGGCAGCCCCGCTCCCTGCGCTCCCCTCTTTCAGTTTGAACCCATCACCCCTTGTTCCATCGCTCCAGTCCCTAATGAAGAGTCCTTCCCCAGCATCCTCGTAGCCCCCTTCAGACACCGGAAGCTGCTCTGAGGTCTCCCTCAGCTTCTCTTCTCCAGGCTGAACAGCCCCAGTGTTCTCAGCCTCAATCCATACGGAAGCTGCTCCAGCCCCTGCTCATCCTCGTGGCCTCTTCTGGCCTTGCTCCAACAGCTCCTTCTGTTCTGCATGCAAGCCCCGGACGCAGCGCTCCCAGTGGGCTCTCCTGAGAGCAGGATGGAGCCCGCTGAGCCAGGTGTGTCCAAAGGTACCAAAGCCCTTCCTGAACCAGTGATGCTCAGCACAAGCGCTGCCAGGGGCTGCACCCCTGCCCTGCTCACACCATGGAGAGGAGCAGGGTCTCAATGGGAGCAAGTGTCAGAGTCTACAGGGCTCTTTCAGTTTAGAGGGTGGTTTCTGGTGCAGAACCATCGCTGCCCCTTCAGTTCTCCTTCAAGCTGCAGAAAGCATTGGCACAACCCTTTACAGGCTCTGGAAATGATGTTTCTTACAGCAGTTATGGATCTGGAAGGGAGCTGTGAATTAACTTGGTGCTTCACATGGTCCCTTCACACTGGGCTGATTTCTCTGCCTGCCTTGCACAGCGGTGAACCTCCAGCACCACCCAATTCCAGCCATTCCAAGGGTGCATTTGAGCACTTTCCCCGTGCAACCAAAAGGCAGATTTCACTCGAACGGAGAAGAACTGGAAGCAAATACCCCGTCACCTCCACATCGCATCGCAGCTCGCCTCCACGTGTCGTGGGGTTTGATGGCAACATGGGGCCAGCATGGCCATGCTCTGAGAGCGCAGGCAGCCTTGACAGCCCCACAGGTGCTCACCATGGGGCCAGCACCTCTTTGGGGTGCGCTGGTATCTCCATGGCCTCTTGCCCCAGAGGGGGACCTGAGCCAGCACCACCGGACTGACTCCCAGCTTCATGTGTTCAATGCTTGTCCCAGAGTCGGTCTCTGATGGGGAAAGTGATGCTCGGTGACCTGTGAACCCCTCTTAACCCATCCTCTGTACTCCCAGGATGCTGGGACGGGAATAAACTGCATCCAAGCCAGGTTTTGGGGAGCTCACAGCATCTCTGGCCAGAAATAGACCAAATCCTGGTCCAATAGACCAAGTGGCACCGTGCACACTGCTTGCTGCTGGTGACACAGTGGGGTCAGGAAGGCCACCGAGCAGTGCCCAATAGGTGCCTGCTGCAGCTCCAGCCCTTGCCTTCGGGCTCTTGAGCCCTGGCAGGACCAGAGCTGCCATCCCAAGGGGGGTCCCAGTGTTTGCCCTGTCCTGCCCCATCTTGGGTGCTGCGGGGACTCAGCAACAGTGAAACGGGGATGGGAAAGGGCTCAGGGGACTCAGGGGCTTATGTAAAGTGCTTGTGGCAACAGGAAGGTGACTGCTTCATTGGAAGTGAGCTGGGAAAACCGGGAACATCCAGGGCCCGGCTGCGATTCCAATCTCCCGTTGTCCTTCAGGATGGAGTTTTCCTTTTGCTCCCAGGTTTGCACCCAGCTCAGAGCTCCCCTTGCTGCAGCAGGAGTTTGCCTGAAACTCAGCTTAAATCCCTGCCCAAGGCCCTTTGCCCCCAGCCCCAGCCCAATGCCCCCCAACCCAAGGAGCTGCCTGGCTGCTCTGGCCGGCCCCACATGGGCACCCTCACCTTGGGCAGTGCCTTTTGGGGTGACCCTGGGGCGATGCAGAGCTCAAGGCCTCAGCAGCCTGGCCCCAGCATCCCCCGCTGCCCCCAAGCAGTGCCTGCAGCTTGCTGCATCGCCTTTATTCATCACATCACAGAGAAGAACAACCTCATTAAATAAGATCCGGGTTTCTGCAGGGGATGGGGGGGGCTCCGGGCAGAGACGCCTGCGGTGGGGTGTGCCCAGGGCTTGGGGGTCCAGCGTTCATCGTGTCACAGTGATGGGATCCCTGTGGGGTGGGACTG